GCAACTTCACAGTAAATGTCCCATGTAGATGTGAGGTGTAGAAAACCAGAGGCAGACAGTAAGTATACAATAGTTCCATGAAACTGGCATGGAGAAGACCTACAGCCACTGACAGAGGGAAAGGGGTGAATGACAGAAGTAGTACAACTGTGGAGGACAACTTGCTAATCATGTCACTGTAAGATTTCTCTCCAAATGTAGAATCACAGAAAAGTAGGTGTGGAAGGGGCCTCACAAGGTTGTCTAAGTCCAGCCTCCTGGCTCAAGGAAAGATCCCAACCCAGTGTCTGCCCACCCTTCTCTTGTTCCCGAGATGGCAATTGCACAAGGTGTGCTCCTTGTGAACTGAAAAACAATTCTGAATATAGGCTAAGCACAAAATTCTCCATGGTTGCTTGAGGGTAACTGAGGGAAATTACTAACACACTCTTGCCAGTTTGTGTAGAAAGAGAATATATGGGGCAAAATAATGTGGTTGCAAGGTTGTTAATCAAGAACCAGATTTGGTTCAATATTCTGTGAAACAGAAAAGCATATTTTATATATTTTGCAGTGAATAATCATTGAGAGAATTATGGATAAATGAAAGTTCAGCTGACTGTTGCATGCTGAAATATGGAGAAATATGCTGAAATGTTGCACGCTGAGATACACAAAATAGGAGCACATCTAGAGCCATGCATCTACTCTGATGTCCTTGAATCATGCTCACCAGGGGCTATCGTAAATGATGAAATATTTCAGCATCTCCAGTGTTTCTAGGCTAGAGAGATAACACATTATTTTTCCTCTCCCACTCAGACTGCTATGCAAAAAATTATCTTCCTATATTTCCTTAAGTGTCTTTACATTTGAAAAACAAAGTCCTAATCCTGCTTGCACAGGGCTGGGGGATCTGGATTCTATTCCATTTTCTGGTGACCTTGGAGAAAATATGTAACTCTTTGATGCCCATTGCCCTATTTGTAAAATATGAATAATATTTAGCCTGCAGGGATGCGTGAATGCTTAACTCACTAATGCTTGGAAAGAAAATGGCTGGGAGGCCCCATAGAAATATTATAGATGCACTACACTTCTGTGAATTTCCAACAGAATCAACATAAATTCAAGTGATTCCTTCACAAGCCATATCTTTTTGTTAATGTTTCCTCATGAAACTACCTCTTTTCATTAATTATGAAAAGATGTGATGCTTTTTTGGTGCTGGTGGAAAGCAGATGTGAAATTTTATACAGTTTACTCTCAGCTGTTCAAGCAAACGAGCCATTTACAAAGCAAATGTGACATCAAAAACAGTTAAAATCGTCTTGCAAGTTAAAAGAAACATAAAGCCGATGCTTTTCATATAGGCAAGAATAAATCAGAAGGAAAGGATTGTCTTTTAAGGGGAGGTTGAAACCATTTTATTAGGGGAATGTTAAAATTGCTGTATACAATTTGAACAAGTACAATATAACAGTTTGCTCCCTAGTTCTTATAATTACAGTATTTATAGGTTTAATAAGGCACTGGTTCCCAAAAAAGAACACAAATTAGTCTTTTGTAAAAATCTTTACATTGTCAGACTTTCTTCAAAAGAAGTAACATTGTGCTAGAGAAGGGAAAGCAGTTGTTAAACATTATTTTTTCTTGAATTTTTCCTCTCCCACTCTGACTGCTATGCAAAGAATTCTCTACCTACACTTCCTTCAGTGTCTTTACATTTGAAAAACAGAGTCTCAATCCTGTTTGCACTGAAATTCTTATCACTGAAATCTATGGGAGCAAAGTAAGCCGTAATCAAGGTGGGCTTTGAACTCACTAAAACTGGAAGTTACATTCTGAACAATTTACCTCTGCACATGTGGCAACATGAAGGATAAATGTAACAATGTGAACTCACTGTACATGCTGGCAGCTTAGCAATCACAGTTCGAGTGTTGCATAAAATTAACCATGCACATGGGAACTCAAATGCCACATTTCTAAAACAAATTGCTTACAAAAGAATGATCTGAGCCATTTTCTGTCCTTAAGGACATCCTCTATAACAGCACTGACTTGAATTGGGTTAGTATGAGATTGAGGTCAAAATTTGGCCTCTCCAGTCAGAGGGAAAAGTGAGACAGACATCAGCTACCTTATAGCAGAGCCTTTGTAAATTCAGCTGTGTCACCTCATATCCTTTTTTCTCTATATGGCACTGCTGCTGTGATTTGTCAGTTTCTGTATTTTCATAAATAAATACTCTGTTTCATTTAGTGCTTTTTCTTCCATAATATTTTACTCTTAAACAACATACTGGAGTTATTCCAGACTCCCAACTGAATATATATATATATATAATATAATATATATATATATATATAAAACATATAAACCTGAACATCTTAACATACAAACGTTATATGACCTACCAACTGTTATCTTAGAATCCCTTTATTTCAGGAACAAAACATTAACATCCATGCATCTAAAACACATTAGGACCATCAACAACTGACTGAAATAATGCCTTCTTTCTGACACGTACGAAGGGCATCTGTTTCAGTATGCTCTGAAGATTTAAACCTGCTAAACAGTGAGCTGGCACTGCACCTGCCTGTCACCAAAACAAATGTACTTTAGATCTTCCAAAATGTGTTTGAGGAAAATAAATAAGAGGCAGAAGTGATCCAGAGAGCTCTTAAAACAACAACAAGTGAGGATACCTTAATATAAGAGGGATGCACATGTCCCTCTATTGGAGAAAACTGGAGAAGGAAAACCTCTGAACTATGACTGCTAGAAAATGTGATCTTCCAGCTTTCATCTCTGCAATACAGGGTTTACCTGCTAGAAACCCACAGTGGTAATGAGTTAAACATGCAGAAATTGACCCCAGGAATTTGCCCTCCTTCAAAAAGGAAAGAAATATGCAGGCACTAAGAGACATTTCCATGGCAGAAGAGACATCTACCAAGGAAACAGCTGAGCAGACACTACTGGGATGAACCCCCCTGAGTTTTAAGAATAAGAGTGTTCAGCCTCATCACCCCTGATCATCTTCTAATCCCTTTTCCAGGGAGCATCTAAGGTGGTTCTTACTGAAGTGTAAAATTGGGAATAACTTGTTCCACTTCACTAGAGTTACACCAAAATTGCAGAAGTGGCAGGGAAAGAACTTGACACTCAGGTATTTGCTCATTCTGTAACAAGTTCCCATATACTTCATCAGAATAAGCTCTTCAGGATTGCTGTGATTTGGTAAGGCACAGCACTATGAGGATTTGTTGTCCTCCAGTCAATGTGGACACTCCCACCTATAACGTGGGTAGTTACAAATTCATCTCCTTTCTCTTTTCACTCCCTCAAATGTGGAAGATATTCATTAAGGGGCTTGCATTTTTAACCTCCATTATCTAATCACCAAAAAAGGGATGATTTATAGTAGAAGTTTCCAGTCTCAGTGCACTGGGGACCTTTAAAGTATGGTTGCTGAAGTCAACAAGAAGTATGTGTCTAATTATGGTCAGAAATTAATTATTAATTCCTGGAGAATCTCTTCTGTATTTATGACTATTCCTGGGTGAGAGTTCCTTACTCTGTATAGAGGCACAGCCAGAGAAACTTCAAAAGAAAGCTTACCATTTTTTAAATTCCTCTGCTCAAACTTTTAAACACCCAGTCTGGACATTTCACTGACTATCTTGAACCGTGCACATTTTTCTGTATCAGCCTGAAAGTATAAAATGGTAATTTTTCAACCTATAAATACCTTCAAGAGAGCAGTGAAGCTGAACACCAATTACATTTACCTAGGTACCATAAATAAATCAGTTTTGTCTAGAAAAGGGAGAAAAAAAGTTCTACATGAATGGTGAGGATAAATCTAGCATGTCAATTATTTTGACTCTGAAGATGGCTTAGTACAATCAAAGCAGTGTTTGCAACAATTATTTAAAAACAAAACTGAACATAGCCTAAGAAAACAAGAGACAAAAAGGAAAACAGGCAAAAAAGGGGGGTCAGGAAGGTTCCCCTTTTTCAGCTGAGCTTTGACCAAATTCTGAGGAAAAATAGAAGAATCAGTAACTGTCCCAACTAAAATGCTTCACACAGAGTATTACACCCTTGTGTAATCTATCATTTCCCAACTAATGAATTTCAAGCATTCCTATAACCCCTATATCCATGGAAAGAAATCAGTAAGCAACTCTGGTGAATATATGTCAAACTACAGTCATGCTTTAGAAAGTCCTCTCCCCATGAATTTACCATGACTGGTGAGTCCCACAGTCCTGTGGCAGTCCTATGACTAAACACAGTCTCCTAAAGCCTGAGAGGGGACTGCAAAAGCCATTTAAACGAAAGAGCTGGCTAACACTTCATGTCAAGATTTTCAGATACAGGTGCCTAAATGGCTCTTAAAAACTAAACGGTGGGTTCCGAAGGTGCTGACCACCTAATGACACCAAAAATATAATGGAAACTGTTGGGTGCACAACAATTTTGGTTAAGGATCTAAAATACAGATTTAGGAGCCTAATTTTAGGCATTCATTTTTTAAAACATACCTTTGGCTTTTTTTGTTCATTTTCTTCCAATGCCTTCAGTTACCCATATCAAGGTAAAAAAAATAGTAAAACCCACAACATTTCCAAACTTTCCTAATGTCAGAAATTTCAACTTTTAGATGAATGTTAGGAACGTACTGAAGTACTAAAGAGCAGTATTGGAGGCTGCGGTACGGGGCACTAGAGTATAGTTTCA